CTGTAAAACAGAGACAGCTGGTAATATTCAATAATAGATGGCACTAATTGTGTTAGAAGCTGCCGGGCTGTGATAATTCCGTTAGTTTTTGTGTAAGTGTCAGACAAACCTCACGGCTAGGTTTTCACTGCCTGCCAGTTTGTACTGTTGAACATGGGACATTTGGCATATTTGCTAATGGCAGTCTATGATGGCTGTTCCGTTATATGCATGAGAAAATGTTGGTCTCTGTTGTCGACGTCGTTGTGGTCATTGTCATCACCTAAATCATTATCCTCTTACAGCTGCTTGCTATGTACTTATGATATAGTTATGCATCTCCTGTTCTCCTTCTATCTTCTTTTTTTTTTCTGTTGTTGTGTCACTGCTACCAGGTGGTAGCCCAGTGTCGTGGTTTGCTGTTTTTGTCTTGCGCTTCTCGGGTGGCTTGAGTGATGGATTTGCTCATCGTTTTGCAGGTTTCAGCCACACCATTTTATCCATCTCTTTCTTGGTCTTTCTCTCGCCTTTCTTCCAGATGTTCTGCTGTAAATTAAAAATTCTTACATGCAGTTTGGTCTGGCTGCATTTTTACTAGATGGCTAAACCATTTAATACTTTATCAATATAACAATATAATCCAGACATGGTCTTTTTCCAACTTCCTCTCTAATGCTGTAATCGTAACCATGTCTCTTTTTTTTTAATCTTTGTGACATTGCGAAGACAGCGCATTTTACATGTACTTTTTTCCCCCGTTCTAGTGCCTTTTTCATTGTCCATATTTGGCACTGATAAAATAAAGTAGGAATAAAGATGCTTTTGATCATTTGCTGTTTTGCTGAGGGTGTCTAAGCAGTGGGGCTTACTGGTAGGTGATATTATTTGCCTTCTGTACTCTGGCTTCTATCTCTCTATTGAGTCTGTCATCCTCTGTCAATATGATTTCTAGATATTTGAATTCTCGTACTTGTTTGATTGTAGTACCGTTAACATGAACGTTCATGATATTATACTTCCTGCCTATCCGCATTACTTCAGTTTTCACGGTCTTTATTATCATATCCTTCTTTGTGCTGGTTTGATGTAAAACGTTAGCATGGTGTTGTGAATTTTGCATATGCGTGTTTGTGTGTGTGCATGTGTGAGCATAATTCCTTCTATGACTAGCTAATTAAATAAAATTGGGATCTGTTTCATCGTCGTCGTCATCATCCTCTACATTATCATCATCGTCACCACCTAATTGCTTGTCAGGAACTCATTATACTACCCTGCATTTTCTCTGCTCATCATCAATCAGCAAGTCCTTTACAGAACGTCGCTCTCTTCACGGCACACCTGAAAGTATCCCTTTCTCTAGTCAGCTCTCCGGCCCCATGTGCTTTCAATGCCAATGCAACCTCAATGTCTTGTATTCATCTTCGCGGTGGTCGACCCCTGCCTCGCCTTCCACAAACTGCACCTTCCATCACTGTCTTTTCCAAGCCACCGTGACGCTTGATATGGCCAAAATACTGAAACTTTCGGGACAGGATGCTGTTTATGAGCCAGTTCTCCTTGATGTTCAACTCGTTCAGAATGTCCATGTTTTTTCTCTTCCTGATCCATGGTATTTTAAGAATTTTTCTATAGCATTTTCTTTGAAAAGCTCTAATCTTTTTCCTCAGTCACTGAGTGAGAGTCCTGGACTCACAAACGTAGGCTGCCACAGGAAAAATGCATGATCTCTAGATTTTTGCTTTAACCAATTTACTAGTGCTTTGCCATAGGTTCTTCGTGTTATTTAATCTCTGCATTGCCAATGCAAGTCTTCGTCTAACTTGTTTTGAGCAGTCGCCACTGTTGTTCACTAAAGAGCCCAAGTATTCTAAGTGTCTAAGTGATACTATTATCATATCATTCATTGTGCCGATTTTCATTGCTATATACTAGAATTCTAATACAATGGTTTGTGTGTTTCGCCTTCGTTTTTGGCCATCTTCATCCCTACTCTTCTTCTTCACCTCCTCCTCATACTCATCACACAAGTGTGCTTTACTAATATCGTACCACAGATGACGTCACATGACACTCCAACAAATAGACTGTGGTAACACTGTGTTTCCCGACTTTCTGATGCTTTTAACGACCCAAAAACATCTATAACTGGCCCTAACCCCAACCCACCTACGTGCCACAAGAGAGTGCAGCCTAATCTCACTAATGCTGCAGCCTAGGTCCCACGACTGCATGCAGCCTATCTACCACCCTGTGAAATATTAGACTGTCCCGTGACCTGTGGATTTTTCCTGTTTGGGGTAGGATATTAATAAAGCACCCACAAATGTAGTGTGTCACCACATATAGAACACATCTTCGTGTCCTATATTTATGACAGCACCATGTATCCCCCCTCCCTCCCCTCCTATTTAGGCTCTTTCCGAAGCTCCTTTATGTTTACTACAAAGATTAGTTAGCTCGTTTTAAAAAGAAGTAGCTGTAGCTGTTACAACACCAATTTATCTGCTAAGAACCCACTAGGTTAAGCAAATTACCTGTAGCGATTGATATCCATCGATCAATCGTTTGGTGTGCCCCCATCTATCTGCTACTCACTGCCTTCCCTACACGAATGTAGTGAGAGTCGACTTTCTTCGAAGTCAGAATGCCTCGAGCGGCAAAGAACAACTAACAGCACACAAATAAGCCAGTAAAACGGAAGTACATGCATGACGCAGGCCCTGGCACAAAGCTGAAGTCCAAGTGGACGAACAACCAGGACTTTCCACAACCGGTAAACAAAGAAAAAGAAGAGGAAGAGGAAGAAAACAAAATAACACATCTCCATCTAGATGGCAGACCATCAAGGTACATGTCAGATGTGGTCAGCATCCAAAAGCAGTTATAATTAGGACAACCGTAACGTGAACACCATACTGATGTAACCTGGTCCTGTGCGGCTAAGGACCTATTGATTGATGTGTAAAACATGGACAATTTGAACATCTCCAGGATAAAAATAGCGCACCATACAGGTTAACGTTGGCGTCTGTGGCTTAGGCGTTACGAACGCGTTTTGTAATGTCGGGGTGCCGGGTTCTGTCCCAGCCGCGGGCCTTGCTTTGGTTTCGACAGTTGTACCGAGAAGCCGACCGTCCAGAAGGCAGTTGCAAATTTCTTGACTTAATCTTGCCATGAAAAACCACAACAGCCAAAAAATGCTGGGGTTGGTTCTGCAACGTCCTGTAAAGGATACGCAACTAAAAATAAGGGGTTAACATCCTGATCACTGAATGCTGCTGATAGTGGTCTAAGAGTTGGAAAAGACATGAATAACGATAACAGTCTAAGAGGTATGGGGTTTGAACAACAGATCAACATCATGGTACACACATAGTAACCCATAAGTTCTTTTTCTAACTCAAGTCTGAGTCCGAAGAAGCTCAGCACAGTGCACAAGCTCTGTAGCACCAGCGAGGATCCTGAAATACTTTGGGTAGATTTTTAACTCTAAATTTTGCCCGGTTAGCGCCGTTAAGATACACTTTTCGATTTCCAACTGCCAAGGGATTTTTTACGTGCGCTACAATGTACACGGGCGTCCGATCTCACTACCCAGAGACCAGAGGGAATTGCTGGAAGTCCAAGTCCACGTGAAAAAATCCCAGATCTTATCGGGGATTGAACCAGGTATCTCCAGCAACTCAAGAAGAAGAAGAAGAAGAAGAAGAAGAAGAAGAAGAAGAAGAAGAAGAAGAAGAAGAAGAAGAAGAAGAAGAAGAAGAAGAAGAAGAAGAAGAAGAAGAAGAAGAAGAAGAAGAAGAAGAAGAAGAAGAAGAAGAAGAAGAAGAAGAAGAAGAAGAAGAAAGAAGAAGAAGAAGAAGAAGAAGAAGAAGAAGAAGAAGAAGAAGAAGAAGAAGAAGAAGAAAGAAGAAGAAGAAGAAGAAGAAGAAGAAGAAGAAGAAGAAGAAGAAGAAGAAGAAGAAGAAGAAGAAGAAGAAGAAGAGAAGAAGAAGAAGAAGAAGAAGAAGAAGAAGAAGAAGAAGAAGAAGAAGAAGAAGAAGAAGAAGAAGAAGAAGAAGAAGAAGAAGAAGAAGAAGAAGAAGAAGAAGAAGAAGAAGAAGAAGAAGAAGAAAGAAGAAGAAGAAGAAGAAGAAGAAGAAGAAGAAGAAGAAGAAGAAGAAGAAGAAGAAGAAGAAGAAGAAGAAGAAGAAGAAGAAGAAGAAGAAGAAGAAGAAAGAAATAAGGAAGAAGACAGAAGGAAGAAGACAGAAGAAAGAAGAAGAAGAAGAAAGAAGAAGAAGAAAGAAGAAGAAGAGAAGAAGAAGAAGAAGAAGAAGAAGAAGAAGAAGAAGAGAAGAAGAAGAAGAAGAAGAAGAAGAAGAAGAAGAAGAAGAAGAAGAAGAAGAAGAGAAGAAGAAGAAGAAGAAGAAGAAGAAAGAAGAAGAAGAAGAAGAAGAAGAAAGAAGAAGAAGAAGAAGAAGAAGAAGAAGAAGAAGAAGAAGAAGAAGAAGAAAGAAAAAGAAAGAAGAAGAAGAAGAAGAGAAGAAGAAGAAGAAGAAGAAGAAGAAGAAGAAGAAGAAGAAGAAGAAGAAGAAGAAGAAGAAGAAGAAGAAGAAGAAGAAAAAGAAAAAGAAGAAGTAGAAGAAGTAGAAGAAGGAAGAAGATAAAGAAAAGGAAAAAGAGGAAAAAGAAGAAGAAGAAGAAGAAGAAGAAGAAGAAGAAGAAGAAGAAGAAGAAGAAGAAGAAGAAGAAGAAGAAGAAGAAGAAGAAGAAAGAAAAGAAAAAAGAAGAAGAAGAAGAAAAAGAAGAAGAAGAAGAAGAAGAAGAAGAAGAAGAAGAAGAAGAAGAAGAAGAAGAAGAAGAAGAAGAAGAAGAAGAAGAAGAAGAAGAAGAAGAAGAAGAAGAAGAAGAAGAAGAAGAAGAAGAAGAAGAAGAAGAAGAAGAAGAAGAAGAAGAAGAAGAAGAAGATCACCAACAACAATTACAACAGCAACAGCCACAACAACAACAAACAAAGAGAAGGGTGCTGAACTCACCAAGTTTGACATAGTGGGGCAATGTTGCACACGATCGAGGCCGCGACATCTTCTCCTCTCTATTGACAACATAGCAGTGATCTGATGAGCTCGTCTTGCACTTCTTAGACCTGAGCTTGACCCCACCAGTCTCCCCAGCTCCAACTGCGTGCGCCGAGAAAGAATTGGTGATGCCTCGAGATGCTAGCTGCTGTTGCTTTTCTAGTTTCGTCCCATTCTCCAGAGTGATGCTTATGGAGCTCTTTGCTCGGCCAAAGAGTTTCTCTCGGAGAATCCGAGTCACAGTAGACCCCGAGACCGCGGCTGCTGCTTGAGTGTTGGTCATGGATGGTTGGTTCTGGACTTCTAATGAGTCACAGTGGTTCATGGATGACAGATACTCCTGGAATTTGGGATGGTCGCGTGCAGTCAAGCCGTCCCGTGAGATCATTGAGTGGAGTCCGTTGGATGACTGGGAGCGCACTAGAAATCCATCTATATCTTGCTGTGGTTTGTTACCTTTTGTTTTCATAGATTTATGAGAACAGTGATAATCCTGAGAACACTGGTAATGATTCTCAGGATACTGCTGAGACGCCCGTTGGTGATGGCGATTATGAAATACTGGCTCGTGGTGATGAAAGTTAGACTTTGGATACACGATCTCTTGAGAAGACTTACTGTTCCTATACATATCCATGAAAGTTGATTCCTGAGAACGATATCCATTATCTCTGTGAAGGCTTTGACTACTCGTATTGGAGACAAGAGATGTGTCTCGAGGATGGTATGTTGAGCCCTCGATATAATGCTCGGAATTTTTTTGACCAGAATGAAGAGATCCATGAAAACTGTTCTGAACATGTTGGCTTTTAATAAATGAAGGATACCCTGAAGAATGTCTACCCAACCTGGTCGCTAAATCCTCATTATCAATGGAGCAATGTTTCAAATGATAAGCTAGATTCCTATCTGATTTAGACGATCTAATGTTCCGACCTGGCGCCCAGTTATTATAAGTCATGGCGTCCTTATCCCCATTGGCTGTGACTGGACTTCCATGTTTGGTCCAAGGTTTGAAGTTTCTCAGCCAGGTCAAGGTTTTATTGTATATGTTGTCCTTGACATGAGGTTGCAGAGGGTCACGACCACCATGTCTGCCCAGACTGGACGCTCGAGAAGGTTTGGCAGGAATCCTTTCATCCACTGCTTCCTTGTAAAGATGTCTAGGTGGCTCACCAGCCCTCATAGAACCCATTCGTCTGTCTTCGTATACTTCATTCATTCTCTCGTCTACCACATTGCCTTTACTGTCGATGCTCCAGAACATCTAAGCTACCCAAGTTAAAAAAATGTTTACACGGCAATACTGAAATTCACCGTTGGTTTTTTTGGGGGGACAATAACAAACATGAAATGTTTGTCTTTTTCTTACAAGTAAATCCTGGTTTGTGTAAGCTTTGCTATATTTTTTTCATTAGAATTTAGCCCTCAAATTTGTATCCTGAAAAGTTTTTCAGTACTTAATTCAACACTCCTTAAAGAGAAAGAAATCACACGATTTGGTCACAGAGTCCTTATCATTATACACAGTAAGAAGACACTGTTGGGTATTTCGCTTCTATTGCAATTAAGAAACCTGGCCTAATTAAACTTAAAAGTCATATTACACATACAAGTAAATTTCAACATAAACGAGAATATTTAAGGAAATTTAAGAAGTAATTTCTTTAGACGTAATTAATTACACCATTATATAATCTCTGTTTTACAATTACAGTAGAATAACAGACTAAAACGTATAACCGTAAACTGTATTTCAAGACTGAATTAAACTATCCCGAATAATGAATATAGTCTGGTCACAAAGAACAAAAAAGAACATTTCTCCTTATTTATACACACAGTCCCAAAGTCACTACAGGGGTATCTTGTTTCTATTTGCAATATAACAGACTAGCCTAACTCAACTTAGACGGAAGGTTACGCAAAAAATAGGGTGAATTTAAACTAAAACTCCATTGGCATAAAAGTAATACACATTTGCCGTCTCTTAACTCCATCTCAGAATAGTTTTTAACAGCAGTTAATCTATAATTCTCAGGCACATTCACAATAAAAGCGATGAGTAGAATGGACAGTCCTGATAAATGAAAAATAAGTCACAGTAGCAGGAGCAGAAAAACTAGACGAAAAACAAATGGAGGGAGAAAAAGAAAAGGTATTAGTCATAAAAACAGTAGTAGTATAGCAGTAGTAGAGCAGAGCAACAGTAATAGAATAGAAGAAACAGAAGAAACAGAAGAAGAAGAAGAAGAAGAAGAAGAAGAAGAAGAAAGAAGAAGAAAGAAGAAGAAGAAGAAGAAGAAGAAGAAGAAGAAGAAGAGAAGAAGAAGAAACGTAAGAAGAAGAAGAATAAAGAAGAAGATAAGAAAGAAGAAGAAATAAAAGAAAAGAAGAAGAAGAAGAAGAGAAAGAAGAAGAAGAAGAAGAAGAAGAAAGAAGAAGAAGAAGAAGAAAGAAGAGAAAAAAAAGAAAACAAGAAGAAGAAGAAGAAGAAGAAGAAAGAAGAAGTAAAAGAAGAAGAAGAAGAAGAAGAAGAAGAATAAGAAGAAGAATTGCAAAGAGAAGAATAAGAAGAAGAAGAAGACAGAAGAAGAAGAAGCAAAGAAAAAGAAGATAGAAGAAGAAGAAGAAGAAGAAGAAGAAGAAGAAGAAGAAGAAGAAGAGAAGAAGAAGAAGAAGAAGAAGAAGAAGAAGAAGAAGAAGATTGCAAAGAAAAATAAAAAGAAATAGAAGAAGAAGAAGAAGAAGAAGAAGAAGAAGAAGAAGAAGAAGAAGAAGAAGAAGAAGAAGATAAAGAAGAAGAAGAAGATAAAGAAGAAGAAGAAGATAAAGAAGAAGAAAAAGATATAGAAGAAGAGGATTTTTCGAAAAAAGAAAAAGAAGAATACCCTGTAGCTTGACTGATTTAGTAGAAATAAAACATAAAAGCTATTAAATGACAATATACTGTAATAATAAAATAACATCAACGGTGACGAGTTTACTTTGTCATGCAGTATAATTAACAATATAATAAAATATCTAAACACAACATTTTTACTGAGATAATGGACTTTGTCATTGGTTCCCAGTTAGCGAAGACCCGTGGATCTTCTGTTCTTTCGTATGCATTATACAGATTCCCAACTTTTTGATGTAGTCAAATTTAAAGAGAGAAAAAGGGGAGGGGGATCTACATTCTGCTTCTTTTTCTGCTTCCTTTTCACCCAGTTGGATCATAGGCCCTCAACCAATTCAAATCCTTCTATCTTTTTTCTATCGCAAGCAGTATTCCCATTGTCCTCCCTATCTTTTTGACTCCGCTCTCCAGCTCCCTTGTCCCTGATTTTGTATTTTTGTTTGCTTTTATTTCTATGCCCCTTGTGGGTTCCAGTGCAAAGAATTCTGGTTATGCTGTTTTCAGATTTTCTCAACATGTGTCCTATCCAATGCCAGTCTCTTTTCTCCAGCTCTTGGAACTTGTTTGGTTCTCTCACAAAGCTCATTTATTAGTGTTCCGACCATACCATTTAATTCCATTTATTTTGCGCAGGTACAAAATAATGAATGCTTGTAGCTTATTAATGTTTTTTTCCCCTTCTAAACGATATCAGAGACCTCTAAGACCCCCAGCTGGGATCAAGAGACCTCCAAGACCACCAGCTGGGATCAAGAGACCTCCAAGACCCCCAGTTGGGATCTAGAGACCCCTAAGACCCCCAGCTGGGATCTAGAGACCTCCAAGACCACCAGCTGGGATCCAGAGACCTCCAAGACCCCCAGTTGGGATCTAGAGACCTCTAAGACCCCCAGCTGGGATCAAGAGACCTCCAAGACCCCCAGTTGGGATCCAGAGACCTCCAAGACAACCATTTGGGATCTAGAGACCTCTAAGACCCCCAGTTGGGATCTAGACCTCCAAGACCCCCAGTTGGGATCTAGAGACCTCCAAGACCCCCAGTTGGGGTCCAGAGACCTCCAAGAACCCCAGTTGGGATCTAGAAACCTCCAAGACCCCCAGTTGGGATCCTGAGACCTCCAAGACCACCAGTTGGGATCCAGAGACCTCCAAGAACCCCAGTTAGGATCTAGAGACCTCCAAGACCCCCAGTGGGGATCCTGAGACCTCCAAGACCACCAGTTGGGATGCACTGGACTAAATAAACATAAGCTCTATTCATTACTGCCAACTCTGTGATCACCGTATTGAACGCCAGCGTCATTATGGTGCCGACCAAAGTACAGGAAAGCAGACAAAAACGCTAACAATGAAACCAGACGGGAAAATATTGACGAGAATGAATGTGCAGCCATGCCAACAATAGTGGTGATAGAGATAGTTATCAACTTGCAGCAATTAACTCAGTGATAATGATTTTTTAATCAGGCTTGCGTTTTCAGCACTTTTCTTCACGGACGTGAAAACTTGTGGGCTTATTATTCATACCTGGGGAAACGGCTAAATACATTTATGTGATGCCTACGAAGGTCATTTTAGTAACAAATGGCAAGACACGATTACAAACACTGAGGTGCTAGAAAGCGCGGATATCACAACCGTGATCATAATGTTATTTCTTTTAAGGCTTTGATGGCTAGGACAAACCTGAAGGATGGAGGATATTTGAGTTTCAGGGACATCCTCTATGGTGAATTACAGATGAGTAAAAATTTTCGAGGTTGGCCTCTACTGATAAAATGATGCGTGGAAACAAGATACGACTGATATAGGTATTGAGGTGGAATCGTGAGGAATGAACGCCGCGAGCTGAACGTCTTGGAAGGAATGAAGCTCAACCCACAAGAACCACACAGCGAGCGACCGACACACGGTGAGACAAAAGGCCACCATACGGATGAGAATTCCCCAGATGCAAGTCCTAGAAACCCTGTTCAATCGTTGGGTATATTAGGGTGCACGACGACAGCGAGGGCTTTGAAGTAACTTAAAAAGCAGTGTCCAGTTTTTTGAGCGTCTGAGAAGTGATTCAGGACAACAGGCCACAGGGACACTTGTACTGAAATCGCTATTCTAAATTCACTGTGTGGGTTCCTGTGCCCCATTGTGGGGGGAAACAAGAGCGAACCCATTGCCTTCCTAACAAGCATGTCGTAAGAGTAAACAAATTGGGAGCTTTACTTTGAAGTCGTAGTGCTTCTGTCTGAGAGGCAAGGAAGCAACAATCTGCATGCAATTAAGTCAGATCTGTTAAATGGATGACGGATGTACACGCAACACTGGTTCTGGAACAAAGTCTAAAGTCCATAGGTGAACGAACAGCCAGAACTTCCTGTTTGAGTTTTCAGCCGGTGAACGCGAAGAAGAAGAGGAAGAAGATGAAGCAGAAGAAGAAGAAGAAGAAGAAGAAGAAGAAGAAGAAGAAGAAGAAGAAGAAGAAGAAGAAGAAGAAGAAGAAGAAGAAGAAGAAGAAGAAGAAGAAAAAGAAGAAGAAGAAGAAGAAGAAGAAGAAGAAGAAGAAGAAGAAGAAGAAGAAAAAGAAGAAGAAGCAGCAGCAGCAGGAAAAGAAAAAGAAGAAGAAGAAGAAGAAGAAGAAGAAGAAGAAGAAGAAGAAGAAGAAGAAGAAGAAGAAGCAGCAGCAGAAGAAAAAGAAGAAGAAGAAAAAGAAGAAGAAGAAGAAGAGGGAGCGGCAGCAACAGCAGCAGCAGCAGCAGCAGCAGAAGAAGAAGAAGAAGAAGAAGAAGAAGAAGAAGAAGAAGAAGAAGAAGAAGAAGAAGAAGCAGAAGCAGAAGAAGAAGAAGAAGAAGAAGAAGAAGAAGAAGAAGAAGAAGAAGAAGAAGAAGAAGAAGCAGCAGCAGCAGAAGAAAAAGAAGAAGAAAAAAAAAAGAAGAAGAAGAAGAAGAAGAGGGAGCAGCAGCAACAGCAGCAGCAGCAGCAGAAGAGAAGAAGAAGAAGAAGAAGAAGAAGAAGAAGAAAGAAGAAGAAGAAGAAGAAAGAAGAAGAAATGAAGAAGAAGAAGAAGAGAAGAAGAAGAAGCAGCAGCAGCAGCAGCAGCAGCAGCAGCAGCAGAACTTCCTGTTTGAGTTTTCAGCCGGTGAACGCGAAGAAGAAGAGGAAGAAGATGAAGCAGAAGAAGAAGAAGAAGAAGAAGAGAAGAAGAAGAAGAAGAAGAAAGAAGAAGAAGAAGAAGGAAGAAGAAGAAGAAGGAGGAGGAGAAGAAGAAGAAGAAGAATAGTCAGAAAGCAGAAGAAGAAGAAGAAGAAGAAGAAGAAGAAGAAGAA